AACCACTCCACAACCATCAAACCTGTTGCCATGGAGCTGATTCCAATTCATGGCAACCTAATATATTTTTAGAGTAAAACTGCCCAGACTTTCTTCCATAGAACCGCTGTGTGGGTTGGAACTGCCAATCTTTTGGTTAGCAGCCTATCACAGACTGCTCATGCCACTCCAAGACCTTAGAGTACACTTAAATTGCAGTCATTCTGGCATCCTAATCCTTTTAATTAGCTAAGGAAGAATGGCCAAAAACCAATACCCAAAGGCAAAAGAAAGCTTGAGGCAAGTAGTTGGAACAAGCTCTGACAAATAGCCCAAGCCTTCAGTAGAAAAGTAAGAACTTGAAGGAAATGGACACACTTTCCTGGCTGAGTGAGAAGGAGACTGCTGTCCAACTCCTGTCTCAAGATGGGGTTTAGTCATGCCCTCTTACTAAGTAGTCTCTTTCTATCTCCTCAATGCTGATGACTCTATAAACTGTATCTGGACTTAGATCTCTCCCCCAAGCTACAGTCCTGTAGATCAAACCTTCTCAGCAGTACCACTGAGCTGTACAAAACCAAATTTATCATGATTCACCACAAACCTCCTGTGTACTCTATCTTGGTGAATGGGATCATGGCCCAACCAATGGACCTTTCGAAGCCAGGACAACTCACTACACTTGTGTTCCCTAACACAAGTCCAGTTAGTCATCAGATCATAGAAATTGTCCCTTTAATGTCCTTCCAAATATATTGGTCCTGCTTTAGTTCAAGCCTTCCCCATTTCTTGCCCAGATTGTTGTAATGGTCATCTCCCTGGAAACCCTATAACACACTTTTGGATCTGCTGCCCAAATGACCCATTGGACTATGAATCCTATAGGGCAGGGCATGTTTCTTATTCACTCTCACCTTTCCAGGACCCACTATAGTGTTGAGACATAGAGGCTGTTGAACTATATGCTTTTTTTTTTTTTTGCCAGGAGGTGGTAACTTTATTTTGAAAAAATTCCCTTTTCCAGAAAAGTTGCAAAATAATACAAAGAATTAATGATTACCTTTTGCCCAGATGACCTCATTTGCTTTATCCGCTTCTCTTTTTTTTTTTTTTCCCTGAACAGTTTGCAAGTAAGTTGCAGATATGATACTCCTTTACCCCTAAATACATAGGGTGCATTTCCTGAGAACAAGGACATTCTCTTACACAATCGAAGCACAATTTTCAAAATCAGGCAATTAACAGTGATACATTATTACCTAATCTACAGACCTTATTCAAATTTTTCCAGTTG